GAGTAGGGTTGTTTTGTTCAATTAGGATGAATTCCTTGATTTTTCGTTTGTTTATGTTTGGTTCTTTGTTTAAAATTATTGTGATGGCAAAGCTCTTGGGATTTCAATTTGATAATAAGATAGTTTTTTCACATTTAAAGCAACTTGAACTCAGTCATGCAAGTGCATTATTTGTGATCTCTTTTTCATCTTTGGAGGGGTGGATAGGTGTTCTATGTTCAGAATTTATTCTGTCCTTATTTGATCTAAACTGAACTACCTATGGATCCCTGATCTGTGCCTCAACCAGAGATTATTAATGTGATGTGGCTTTCCACAGTTCAAGTCTTGAGCGTGTACACAGTCCGACGAACTCCACACCACATTCAATATTTGCAACCTTTGCAGAGTGTCTCTGTTGACCATCCTTCTGGGGAATAGATGACCCGCTAACCATACCTTTACCTTTCATATTCCAGCAACATTGAGCGAGATAACCCTGACACTAAATATAGTTGCCAAATTTCACCAGTATGTTCATCCATGGCTTGTTATGATCTTACACTAACTTACCTGAAGAAGGTGGGCACTCTTGACTGGAAGAACTGACTTCTATTACCAACACTTCTTGAGCCAGTCTCCCATAACAACCTTTATAGAAAACTCGAGATCAGAGTCTCAGTAAGCTCTGCCATGATTGGCTTCAACTCTGTCGTCTCTCACATTTTTTGTCTCGGGCTAAGCAATGATATTATCTATATAGATTTACTTAGTTCGTTGAAGACCCTGGAATAACCTGATCGATACAACAGCAACATCGGTTTCCACTGGTACCTTTAAGCCATTGTTCATTCCATATGTCGATATGAAGTCTGTTATCACAGTGAGTTGAAGTTTCAATGTAAGTATAGACCATAATCATCACATCATGATTGAAGTATAAACTATAATCATCACATCATGATGTAAGTATAAACTATAATCATCACATCATGATGTAAGTATAAACTATAATCATCACATCATGATTGAAGTATAAACTATAATCATCACATCATGATTGAAGTATAAACTATAATCATCACATCATGATTGAAGTATAAACTATAATCATCACATCATGATTGAAGTATAAACTATAATCATCACATCATGATTGAAGTATAAACTATAATCATCACATCATGATGTAAGTATAAACCGTAATCATCACATCATGATGTTTGTTTTCCTAATTTTCTAACTAGTGAATATAAAACGAGTAATTTTGATTAAATAGCACTTAGTCTATAATACAAGTTTGACATAAACATGACTGTGGAATTACATAAAAGACCTGAAGTAATAGTACATGTGCAATATTTACGTGACATTCCAAACTTCTAGAACTGGAAGGATTCCAAGTGATTGTGGACTGTATCTGATTTCAAGTCATTGTGGACTGTATCTGAGTTCAAAGTCATTGTGGAATGTATCTGAGTTCAAGTCATTGTGGACTGTATCTGATTTCAAGTCATTGTGGACTGTATCTGATTTCAAGTCATTGTGGACTGTATCTGAGTTCAAAGTCATTGTGGATTGCATCTGATTTCAAGTCATTGTGGACTGTATCTGATTTCAAGTCATTGTGGACTGTATCTGATTTCAAGTCATTGTGGACTGTATCTGAGTTCAAAGTCA